GTACATAAACGTACATAAATGTTGATGTGAATAATGGCGTGCACGTTATACAGGACGATCTCGGTAAAACGGTCCTCGCGTAATGGATGCTTATGAGGTATACGCGAGAAAAGATAAATCGCTCGAAACACATTCGCGAGTCGTCTATTTTGTGAGTGCGGCGGTACACTTTGAAGATTTATTCGTACCTCTGGGATAAATATTATCAGCACTTCGGCATCGTCGTATCGAGTAAAGCTTAATGGCCCGTATTTTACCGCATAACACACCTTGTAACATTCCACGATCGATTTCGTATAAACTTCATCGCGATTTGCGAAACGTGATTACAAAATTAGTTGTGACATTGAAGATTAAACTATCTCTGATTTCTTTTTGAAGAAATCTTGAAAAATCTACAAAGAGAGAGAGAAAGAGGGAGAAAGAAAAAACAACAATAACTCTGAGACGTCCTGTACATTCGAATGGAACTTGTGTCAAAATAACAAAACATACATCGCTTGCATTTTAATAAATAATTTCAATAGTCCAATTAGCGTGATCACGACGATGGAGGACGCATCGATCATGAAAAGGTTGATCCAATTATAGACTAATATTCGGACGTGTAAACTTTTTCCGTTAGAAAAAAAGGCATTTCTGATCGGGCAAGAGTTTGGTCCTCTCTCTTTCTTTTCCTCTCTCTCTCTCTCTCCCTCTCCCTCCCTCTCACTGTCTCTCTTTCTCTTTCTCTCTCTGTGTCCACGTCTTGCATACACAGAAGTCCTGCTATAACGAATCTGACCAGAAGGACTTGTGGGTATTGTCGATAGGGACACCTCGATAGAAGATGGTAGTAGGAGGATCTGGTCCATTAGTTACCACAAGTCGCTCGTCAAACAAGCCTCTGCATACGTAATGCACGACGATAACGTCGCGCCACGTCTCGTAATAAAGCATAATCGGGTGATCGGGCATTTCTCCCTCCGCCCTCTCGTTCTCGCTAGAAGACTATTATTCGTCGGTGAAAAAATTTTGACATGACTCGCTTCAGGCTATGTGCATTAAATCGCGCTATAGAATACGCTGCATCATATTTGTGAATTTACCGAATTGCCCCGTCGTTTGAAGTACTCGGGGAAATTTTTAATTTAATTAAAGGAGTAAGAATAAACTATAAATAATTAATAAACTATAAATAATTAATAAATAAACTATAAATAATTAAATCGGGACTGAAGATTATATAATATCGCTTCTTGTTCGAAAGAAACGTCAATATTCGTGCGGCTGAATCAAGTCAAACGCGATTACACTTTCGGCAGATCTATTTTAATTCTACTCTTGATCGGATACGTAGTTTGCTATTATAAAAAAAGAAAAAATAATTGTTTGGACGATTTGATCATCTGAACTTTCGTTTGTGAAAAAAGTTTCGACTCATGAGACTTGTGGTGATATGAGTATTATTCGTCAAAAGTAATTCGCGTGCTGTCAGGAGTAATGAACGATTGTAGTTTTGTACTTTGTTACCTTCGGACGTTCTTACTATGCTCAGGATAATTGTCCGTGAAGAATAATTTGTATTTCCATATTATTTCACATTAATCGCCACGCGGACGTGCGCCACTTCACGTAGCACGACATTTTGGCAGTCTTGCGGACGTCCTATTCTCGCCGAATTCTTGGCAGCAACGCGGCTAAAGAATATCTTCGGGATTCTCGCACAAGTCAACGCGATGACAGAACACGGTAGACTATTTCGCGTAGATTATTGCTTCTGCTTTCGTCCTTTGCTCATCTTGCAACGTTATGTAACCTGACTTGGTGCGTCTCGTGAAATTAAACTCTACGCGTTAAAATTTCTCTTTAAGAACTATACATTCGCATTTCTACGCGAAAGAAATATATTTTCCTGCACTTCCTGAAAGCATAATCTGCATACTAACGATGTACTTGTGAAATGTATCAGAATGTATTCCGTCCAATTGCATCATAAATAATACGAGATCCAAGTGTGCGCGATTCTGTCAGGAAGGCTCGGCTTCCTGACATTCTCACGTGGTAATTGATGGGTACACGTGCGGTTAGGTACGGAAAGGAAGTTTAGTAGGTACATCGCACTCAGATTAGGGTGTCCCATGGCAAAGGGCCGGGTGCATCGTGTCTGCTCTTGCAGACACAGTTTGGATTAAGAGTGCGGTGTGAAGCGCCGGCCATTTGTCTGTCTTTCGTTTTGTTCAGGATGGACTCCGTCCCTAGGAGGCATCCACGTCCTCGGAAACGTCGTATGATCGATGAAACGCGTATGTCAACGTCCCATTAGTGAGCACTAAACGACGTGGCGCTTAAAACCGAAAAGTTTCCCAGCGCGTCAGGGGAAATGTTGCGAGGAATTATCGGTAAAACCGTGATTGAAAGCCCGACATTAAAGAGGACATGTACACGGTGCGCTCCATATTGTTGAAATTAATTTTTCGGCAAGACAAATGAGACGTAGGATAAGATTTCTCGGAAATTTGATTGTATGAAATAATTTTTAGAGATGAACCGAACGAAGTGTTAATTAATGAAACAATTTACATAATAATTATGAATAATATTGGTTTTTTAATTAACTCCCTAAATTAACAAATTTTTTTAAAGATTATTTAAAAATTAAAGATTTCTAAATTGAGTAAATTCTTTTAAAGAAAAGGATTTCTAATTTAACTCGTGCCTGTATTGTTTATACGAGTACAATTAATAAATCCTTTTAATCATATTTTACATATTGTAAAAATCGGCTAAACGCAGCTTCATAGTTTACTTCACGACGGCAATCTGCTTTTTCGGGAGAATCTTGGGGATTCTTCGGGTCGTAATAGAGACGTTGAAAGATCCGGATGGGTTAAGCTACGGTCGTATCGATTGTGTGATCGTTCGGAGGGCGTGGTGCCGCTACACTGGAAGATCGTTTGACACAAAAGCCGATCCGCTCCCCCCGGGCCGTGTTATTAACTCAACGTATCTTCACGTTCGGTCTCACGATCGGGAATCAACCGAGATCAATCGGGCGCCTTCATTCCTGACGCTCTCGAAACTCGCTTTCAAACGCGCCGAACAATTTATTACTCTTTTACTTTCTCTGCTATCCCTCGGCTCCCTATGTATCCGCCTGCGGATGATTCGCTATCGTCAGCGGTATCGGAGTCGCTGGGCGCAGTAGAGGTGCAACCTACACGCAAAAAATGATTCGGTTTGCATTACCGAATTTCAGTTACAACAACCGAAATTATCGGTTCCTCAGGAATCAACTGAAAAATCGGTTGCTACAAAAAAGAAATTCTGTTGGAAAGTTTCTGTTGTGCTAAACATATATTCGGTCATCCCAACCGAATTGAAATGTTGTGAAAGATACAATATTTAAAAAATATACTTATATATTCCTAATTTTCTCATGTCTCATAAGCCACTAGGTATCGAAAGTTGTCAACAACACTCCAACTTTCGTGAATCCTCCCGCGATAATTTCGATCCCAAGCGGTATAATACCACCCGGTCACCCTTCCATCCAGTCCTGATTCCGTTAAAGTGTTGCCTAACCTGACGATCGAGCGGCATGCGGTGATACCCGATGACTCCAACGATATTTTTACGATTTATGCTTATATAATGTATTCTTACAGTGTTCACAGTATATTATAACATACCTAGCAAACACCAAATAAAAGTTATATAATTTTTACTTGGTGTTTGTTGGATAATTTGCTGATAGATATTGGAACAATGCAATAACATTCGATATGCGTTGAATATTGATATAATGTAGTGAATCAGTGATAATTACTTTTAAATTTTTAACAGAATGTTATAATGATCAATCTAAATAAGAAAAAATAAAAAAATCCAAGAAAATCCAAATTAAACAAATCGAATTACTAAATTTTGAAAGAAACTTTAAAAAAATACTATTTAAAACAATAGTATTGTTTCATCAAATGACTATATACAACATATATTTTAAAATTCATCTCTATAGGGATGCGGTGTATACTATAATATTAGTATAATAATATACAATTTAATATCGATAAATATAGAATGAAGTCCAATAAAACTTTAAGCGCCTATGAGTGGTATACTGCAGTATTCTTGCATTTACTGCCGTAACGCACATGTGCGAAAATATAGCTCATCTAATACGGATCACTATCCACAGCAGAAACATTCAACTTCTTTCAACCGAATCTTTTCGGTTGCGGTAACCTTGATATCGTTTCTTGTTGCTATATACTATTCAGTCCGATACCCTCTGTGAGAACAACAGAATAATCATCTACGATAACCATTTTTTTGGAAAATTTTAGTTCTTTCAATCGAAAGCAATCGTTGATGTGAATAATTCTTCAGTTATTATTGGAACAGACTTTTCTGTTGTTGCAACTGAACCTCGTGTAACAGAAAGTTTCTAGCTGTCACTACAGAATATTTTTTTGCGTGTACGTATAGATTTGAATAAAAAAAAGAGAGAAAAATGAACGAATCTTTATATAAAATATAAATTAAAAAAATAAGAGTATACATATTTGTGTACATATCAAATTATGTCAACTTGAAGTAAAATTTTGCTCTTTTGTGAGTTTTTTTATTTCACAAAAATATAAATAAAATCGTAGAATTTATATCATACATAGTATATAATATAATAGGAAAGAAATGGATACCATTTTCACTTATAAAATACTGAGATCAATACTATATTACTGAGAGCTATCAGTACTATTATACTGAGAGCAATACGTCTTACCTTTCGCTAAAAAGGAGAAATATATGGGTACAAGGGAGAAAAAGAGAGCCCATTACAGCGCGCAGCGGCTCCGAAAGGTCAATGAATGGAGTCCTATTGCAGTCTCGTGCAACTTCACTACACATGGCCCATTCACATCGTGCTACGCACGGCGCGTAACCCATGTGACGTTCCATTCAAGTTGGCGCCGCAGCGGCAAGACGCGTTGCGTTTTGGGTTAGCCTGTACATACCTTGCGAGGTTTCAAGGCGTGCACCACCTTTGGTCGTAAGCACTGCTGCGCCAAGAGGAACGTGACGGAAGCGGCAGCCAACAGTCCAACGCCCTTCTGGAACTTCCTCAGCCCGCTGTCGACACGCCACGAGGCGTACGCGCGCGTGACATCGCGAAAGTGGCGTGCAAACGGCGACACGCGTCGCAGCGGGCGAACTACCGTCGCCATTTTCGACACGCGTAGCTAACGCATGCGTCGTGCTCGCTCTGCCGTGTCCGCCGCAAACGTCAGTATCTTCCGTCGGTGCAGTGCCGTAGTGCAGAACTTTCCTTCCCGGGAGCAAAAACGAGAAGTCTTGTAAGGCGATTCTTTTGCAAAATTTATGGGTAAACATTTAGTTCGAGCTTTGAAATCTTCGATTTTAAACGAATTTCGAAATTCTTTAGACTCGAAATACTGTATTTTATTTTATTTTATATTATGTCCTCGCAGGAAATCTTCATATCTGCAACAACTTTGACTTAGATTCACGTAGATTTATCTATTTTTTCTCTTAATTGTTTTTCTTCTATTGTAGATCAATGTGAGTTGATCAAGTGAACTGCTCAAGGAATCTCTTGACCTCATTCATTTTTAATTCTCGGGGAAATGATCAGAATAGCAAATAATTCAGAATAGTTTTTAATTTGATTAATAACACCAGCGATAAAGAATTTTCGCACAGAGAATTCTATCATTATTGAGGGAACGAGATAGTTTTCGACTGAAAATAGCATGTTGATAGTTTATTCAAAATTATTATTTTTAAAAAGGAGGAACTGTTTAGGTAAAAATCAGAAAATAAAAATAAGGCAACATAAGAATTTAAAGTAAGAAAGTTATAGGATTTAACTTTCCTCTTATAGAAAAGTTACGGATTTCAAGACTTAAGTTTAAAGTTTTTATGTATGTATCCTCCAATTTCTGACATGCGAACACCTGCGTTCTATGATTGCATTTGACATCGTTTTTATGTTTTATTCTATTATGACTTCGTTTTGTTACCATTGAAGAAGGTTTTGCATAAAGATTGAAACACGTATGGTAACATTTGATCATTTTATAATTAATAAATAAATTTTTCTCCCACATCGCATGGAGAACTCACCAATATTATTATTAGTTTTTTATCACACTAAAAAATTTGTGTTTAAACTCTTATATTACCCTATTTTTATTTTCTGATAGTCCATTCAATTTAATCAAAGTTTGTATCAAAAGTAAAGCCGATCGCCGCATAGTTTTCAATGATTTATAGAGACAATACCTGCAGTTAATTTTGGTAATACTGCCATACTGCATCTATCACTTTTTCTTTGGACAGATGTCACACTTGGCACCGAGTCACATGTTTGACGTATTTAGCAGGACGTGTTTTTGACAGTCGCAGACAGCGACATGTGCGTTTGTCTGCGCACAAGAAATATAACAGATTATCTTCGAGAAAATATTTGAGATATTAAGAGAAAAAAACTCTTTCACGTTGCAGCGTTTAATGTGAACATGTAAAAATTACGTATTGATCAAAACGCAGTCAATCGGTTAAGTATTCACGTTCAATATAAAAGAAGAGAAAAATATTAAAAATTTACTTATCCTCGACAGTTTGAGTACTTTCCATCCTTATTACTGATAAAAATTTGACAAGTGTACGTCATTGTTATCAATATTTTGTATTGTCACATGATCCTAGAGAAACTTCTCGTGTGTGCTCGGTCTTTTATAGGATTTTTACACGACTGCTATTACACTAAGAAAAAAAATTTTTTTAATTAACAAATATTTAAGCAATACTTGGTTTAAATGAAGAGAATTTTTATTTAAGTAAATATGTTAATGTGATACATATTAATATAATAAATATTTGTTAATTTTTAAATATTTTTTTTTTAGAGATACGAACGTGTTTAATATCATTATGAATTTTTTGCATTAGCGTGACACTCACATAATCTGACAGAATCTCCCTGTCTCCGCTCCATTTATGGAGTTCTCACACTACGAGCGTTATTATCGCGAAAAGATAGGAATGTGCGGTAATTAGCACAAGAACAAAAATTAACGATGTTTGAACAAGCAATGAAGAATGTGTGCCGAATACTGAAATTCTACGTAGTTCGCTCATTGTAGCGCGTGTTTCCTCATTAACTTTTTTTTTTGAGCGAGCAACTGCTTGAATTGAAAGACATTAAAGGGTTGATGGCGGTGTAATAGGCGAATTAATGCGTGTTTATGGGTCGAGTCTCGTGTAAGACGGCAAAACGAGAATTCCGCGAAGTTCTAAATTGCATCGCATACAATGTATCTTCTGAGCGCATAAAGTATCTCACTCACAATCGTTACATTTTATTCATCTAGTCGCTCACGAAAATTAGTATTACAAACTGATATCAACAACTTGGTATCATTTTGTGATACCAATTACTCCCGATTTCGGAGATTTAAGAAGTACAAAAGGAATTTCAGTTCAGTTCTTTAAATTCATTCATTCATTTCTTCCTTTTATAGACTCCGCTTTATAGACTTTGGCATCTCCGTTTTAAAGTAATGCCATCGATATTCGAAACGCGAAGAATGATCGGTGGTGTGACTGTCCCTTTACGTCAGAACTCGATCTGTCCTTCACGAGACGACTCTTCGGGGTATGCCATAATCACGCATTAATTATGACCACGCTGGATGGCACGTAACCACGTAAAATAAGTCGAGGCTACGCGACTGGCCGTGCAACAACCTCGCTACGTCATTGCGAAAGGATCGAGGACCCGATGATTTACCCCTATCCTATCCGCCTCTTTCCCTCGTGTTTTGATCTATTTTCCGTGTTTTTAATCAAACGGTTCCTCTCTGTGTTCGCGACGGATAATCCGGTGTTTGTAGCGTACGCGCAAGGCGAAATTATCTTCTGCCAATAACTCCATATTATGATCCGGCTCAATCATCCGCGCCGTTTAAACGGCCGTGTTATGCATTCCAGCTTGCGTCTCTAGTTGCCTCGCGAGCAGCCGGCCAAAGTTAGTTAAAGAAGTTATAAACCGAACTTGATGTGAGTTGATCACGAGAGCTCACTTGATGTGTAACTTGGCGCGTGAGGATTATTTTAGGTGATTTCAACTACTTGTTTGCGAAGAAAGGACAATATTTGTATTCTACAATTTGTGGTATATCCAAACGGATGTGGACTGTTCGGGGATGTGATTCTGCGCGTTTGCAGAAGACGATTTTGTAAACTCGTACATCTTGCTTCCGTAATAATGTTTGAGAGACTCGTTTGTTCTCAATTGCTCGAGATTTACGCGCGCGATGAGTTTACTCAAGCCAGCTTCGAATAAACGATACAATTGTTTGCCTCTCATGAAATCGAACATGCGAAACGGAGATGCGCCACGCTTTTACGCGTCGGATTCACTCGGGGACGAAACGGTGAGAACATATCGGCGAGATAATTTGGATGGCAAAGGATTAACCGAAGCGATTAACAAATCGCCGTCGCGACGTTCGCGTGTTCCTTTCACCGTTGTATAGATAGGAATAGAACTGAAGAGGGTCGCGCAGACGAAGGACGTTACATAACGAGACGGAAGCTTCTTCACCCACGTCCCGACATCGCGTGACGCAACGCGAAAAGAGTTCGTTCGAGTGGCGCGAGTGCTAAAATTACGCAGGCTAATACACACACCGGTGTGACGCTTTTAATGCGTATCGACGTGTCGTATAACCACATTGAACCCCTGTTTGGATTCCTCGTACCTCCCTCCTAGAATAGTAGTCCGCGATTTTTTCAGACGCAAAACATTTTGAGAAAAGTTTCGCGTACCTCCTGCATCAATAAGTTAAACAGAGCTTTCATCGTAATGATATTTATCATTCTTTATTAGTTGAGATGATCGAAAAAAAATTTGCAACAAGTTTTATGTACATAACAACGCAATTCACACGAGACTTGTAGAAACAACATAATTTTATTTTTATCCCTTGAAGGGATATTCTGTACGAAATAAAACGATTGTGAAAGTCTCATACGTATAATATTACTTGAAATACGATCTTAAGGAAAAAGACTTCTCCCATAATGAGAATTTAGTATAGAGGGTTAAAAGAAACGGGGATATAGAAAGAAATTATTTGCCAATTATTTGTAATAATCCGTGTAATCATCACTTAAAGAGAGGGAGAGAGAAAGAGAAAATAGTTTCTGGTATCTGAGCGCAGCGCGAACTCACGGATTAAGAAAATATACTTGGAAACTCTGCGACGAGAGCTCGTTCGTTCGCTTGCTCGCAATCAGCCAGATAAAAATCCATTTGACTTCATGCCGCAGCTGCCGTCGTCGTCGAGCGCGTATAACCGGCAACGAGCGCTGCACTGAGGCTGCAACTACCTCGTCTACGTGCAAGACAAGTGCATCGTAGCGCGCAACGGGTTTACCGGGAGCGCGAGGCAGGCGTTAGATTTCTTGCCGCCCTGAGCGAAATGTCGCACCTTCGGGTGAAGACTGCCACAAGCCGAAAGGAGCAAAATATCCCGGCACGGCCGGCCTAATTCCTAAACGTCTGCGTTGTTTCTTCGCTTCAATTATTCAACGTTTCTGTAATTGACGGAACGTGCAATTTCTCTCATGGTCGTGTTTTCTATTGAATTATTATTCGTCGAATAGCTGGATAACTATTAAATTTATTAATAATTATCAACGCGTGTTACCTTAAAATAGAAAATGACCGAATTAGGAAAATTACAAATCAAGATATTGACGATCAAGGGGTAATGAAAAGATATCCGGGCCGAATTTTCGCTGAGATTAAATTGACGTCGAATTCACCGCTAAGTCAATCACCTGTGACATTTCTTGGACACCCTGTATATACCAGGTAAAGAATTAAGTGTATCGTGAGAATCGCCCCAAGATGTCGAGGAATTACGGATTCTGGTGCAACGTTCTCCGTATCTACAGGAATTATCAATGCGCTCTGGTATCTTCGCTAATTTGAATAATCAAACCTCATGACAGCTAATCGACTTATGCGGAGAATGTGGTGGAATGATGGCGGCAATGGTGCCGATAACAGCGCGGGGCGGTATCATCGATATTCACCTAATAAAGTTTGATAGAGCAAAGCGGCCTGTAATGCCATCGTACCACCTGTCTTTACTTGCTCGATAAGGATATAAGTGCAGCCCGGGGTTGAAAATGTGCGGGATGCTCATCGTCGGTGGGTCGATCGTGATGGATATCTGCGATAATGGGTGAATGGCGCTGATTTTACGTGTGAAACGTCGCAAAATGTATGTTCAAGCGCAACGAAAGACCGCAAAGATTGATGTGCATATTCTATCAACACGTTCAGTTAGTAATCTGTGGTTGTAGCTAGAATTGTAGTTAGAATCATTATTGAAGATCGCCCAGACATACAGAGGCTTCCAAGTAGCGATTACTTTGCTTTATTTTCCTTGTTCTCACATTGATATTATGTTGGTATTTGTAATACATTGTGTGTTTAGAAGTAATCGGCTGTAGAGATCAGTGTTTCTCCAGAATAGATATTATTCTATCACGCAAATCATAAGTCAGAATCTTAATCTCAAGTGCATCGAGGCGATACAAATAAGCAGGTGAACGTTTCGATACTCGATATCTACTCGATATATTTCATATCTCGATATTTACTGTGTAATAAATTAAAATTCAATTTGACTCGCTCTTTCAAAATTGCACCCTGAATTGCCGCCAGTTGCATTGTTCTGTGCTGGACTGCCGTGATAGTCGATCAAGGGTTTGCGCGTACCAAAGTCTGATGTCGAAAAACCAAGGATCCCGATTGTGGGTTCAATTATGATTAGGGACGGCGCACGTTTTGCGGCGTTTGTCATGTTTCGCCTGTGGGTCGCGGCGAGTTGGGACGGAGGACGTTTACTGAAGAACGTTAATTATAAATTGAAATACGCGCGTCGCGCAGGCCATAGGTCGGGATTATGTTAATAGCGGAGATTATGATTACGGTCATGATCCGTAAGTGGCTAATATAAGTGCCATGAAAGATCGACAATATACGGAGCAACGGAGGCATACCCGCACGACGCATTAGATATGCAAGTACTCTTATAAAGTCTTATAAAACGGCCGATATACTACTTGTTGCGACACAGGTACACATTTCCTAGCTCGTACGGAATGTTGGTGACTTATGAACGCGCAGGTATTTGTGCGCATTATAAAACCGAGATTTTATACTTTCGAGTTATGACACACGGTACAATTATATTCGGGACTTCGAGCGGACATACTTTGGGTATTCTTTGTTTTTTCTTTTTTTATCAAGTAACTGTGACATGCGGAACAATGTCTAGTACTAATTATGATTGCTACGTCGAAATCGAATTTTTAAGAACTTTTAACTTCTCAAATGTTGGGATTTTAGAAATTTTGCGCTGTTAAATGCTTTAGTTGAATATCTGTAAACTTGGAATATTTTGCTTCGTCGAAATATAGATTCAGATTTTGAATAATCTAAGGTGGAAGAGTGTGCGTGCGCGATTTTAACGATACGATCGGTGTCCCGCGATATGCTCTTTACTTGGAAAACATGATTATTAAAAGACAATTATTTAAGGGGCACTGAGATTACGTAAATATAGGGTAAGAGCGCGGACAATGCACCGCAATCTGCGCAATTGTTCCCGTGCGGCAGGGCGACTTTTATGCCTTATCGTAACATCGATCATTAATTATGGTACTGGCAACAATGGGAGGAGACGCAGACAACAAAGGGGGGTGTGAGTGCTGATCTATATTCTCTGTTTCTGCGTGGCTTGCAAGCCGCAACGCGTGTGCAGCCTTAATAGTTTCCGGCGTTCGACGCGACCGCGCGCATGCATTTTACGCTTGTTTACGTTCCGGAGATGCCGATGAGCCGCTTATTTTGCATCAAGCAGGGCGCTGCAATGAGCGACTTGTCGTAGCAACGAGAATATATTTGTATGTGCGCGCTATTCAGCAAAGACGTGTTAAACGGCGTACATAATTCATGACTATACGCGCTGTGAGTCGCTCGCATCAACGACAAACAGTTTGATGAACTGGATATAACGAAAGTCAATCTTTTAATCGACAGAGCTACGCGAATTCAACGTCGATGAAAGGTAAGGGGCTGCATCCAGTTTTCGGACGGTAATTACACTTGTTCCCTGCATGAGGATTTATCGCGAACGCGATATGAGAAGTTAGCTTATTCCGTTAAATATGTGCACATAGTATATATATACATATGCGACAACTACACTAATCCTCCAGTAATCCTGCTGAAAAATGAAGAAGTAGAATTCTTAACGTCTGTACTCGCTGTACAGCGAGTACAACTTGCAAAGCAATACTCGGTAGGGAATATCTATTAATAGAAAGTAATGACGTGCGACGGAAACATACACGGAAAAAAAGAGTTAACTGCTGCGGCGAGAATATGTGTGGTAGCTAAATTTTGTTGTGACATGGATACCTAAAAGTATAGCTGTCAGTAAACATGTATTTAATTACGAAACTGAAATAGTAACAGTTGTAAACAGTTTTAGCTAATTTTTAGCTACAGGAACAAATATGTTTTCAACAAAGCATGATTATCTGCGGCAGTGAAAATCTTTTTCCGCGTAATTTGTTTGAAACGATAAATAATCTTCTTCTGGTTACCTGTTCTTGGGAGAAGTAATGAACGTCATTCTTTCTCAAAGACTATTTTATTTTCATTGTTTTAATTGCAAATTAAATTTGCAAGAGGGGTTGCTTATTATGAAATAATTCAAATTGGCCGATACGGCTCGAATTTGTCTCTGTAATGACATTACACATACTCAGCCGCGATGTATAAGTTTTATTTGATACATCATCTTTTAGGATTGAGCCGTACCTGGAATTAGTGTGCAAACAAGTTAAGCATACAGCGATTTATGTCACGCGCGCGATCTCTCCTCGATTCGTGCGATTTTTCCGCAAAGGATTTTACGGCTGTATTTAAGTGCACGGTCGTGTTCGATAAGTTTATAACGAGCATCTTACATTATGCGCACTTACCTGTCACTTGCTTCGCGCGCGCCTGCCTGCCTGCGTTAAATATTTCATTTTGCCAATCCTGACCTCGCAGCGGTTAAATTCGTCCGCGTTAATCCGCTGCTCGAGACGCGTTGGTTAAAGAGAAAAAGTTTCGTGATCTCTTCCTTTCTCCTTCCCGCTAACAATGCCATATTTTACAACGCGGGAAATTTACATCGCGAACATTATACGGCTTGCTTGCGATATAATTTCATTGCCGATATAAGAGATTGCTTTCGAGTTTTCTCCAACTTACCAATATTATTTCGCAAAGCACTGATATAGTGTGCTCTGAGCAGTAAAAAGAATAATTTTATGCAGCATCTGTTTTTTGCGCAAATTATCTTCTCCCTTTGATGATGAGTTATTTTTAACAAAATTTTAATGCAGATACACATACGATGAAGTGTACGTCGAGAGTGAGAATAATACAACACAGCTTTATATTCAATAATATTTCTTTTATTACTTCTAAAAATTATATGGCGACGATATGGTGGGGTTCAGCGTCCAAGAAGCGAGAGAGAGGAGACGAGCGGGCGAGACGCGCGTTCGGGAATATCGCTCGGCTTCACGGGATATTTGCTTTGTCGACTCTGTACTGATTAATTTCCCATATCTCTCACTCCAGTATCTGCTCTCCCGCTCCTCGTCCTCTTTCGCGAAGGCGACGATAGAGAAGTGTGTACCTCCTTGGGAATGGGACAGAAGAGGAAAGGGTTTCTGAATCATATCACAAGGTAGCGTCGAAATTGGCGGTGTTTTGGTTGAGAGAGGACAAGTCGTCGTCACGCGGCCAATGTACTTTAGGTATCTCGTCTCCGAAGTCATACCGCCGTACATCGAGCATACGCGGGTGAAATTTCGATCGATCAGTCGATCAGCGCGGCCCCTCGCTTGTCTCATCGGAGTTTTAACAATTAAATATTCGTCTGTAATCTTAGTTTCTCAGTCTATGAAAAAATTAAATACATCTTAAACATGGCAGTGCTAGACTGGTTACGCTTCGACCTTCGAATCCAGAATTGTGCCGACGATGCGATCGTGCTTGCGTATCATTTTGCTGTATACATGTGTTTATAAAAAGGAGACTTATCGCGTCAATTACCCGATAATCCAACGTTTGAGGGACGTTAATGAGTGAGGTGTATGTATCGTTGCCTCAGCACAGGGGAAAAGCCCGCAGTTGTGATCAGCGACGTGGACAGAGATCAAACGGTGTACTCGTGACACAACACCGTAAAAAGGTATAATATCTCTCCCATCATTGCATCTCTAGAACTAATCTGAAAGTGTAATTAGCATCAGAGATTACGTGTTCGCCATGCCTAGAGCGTGCCTCTCTCTACGTCGCTAATTATTTCAGCAATTAATCGCTTCGATAAGCATCGCACTCGCGCATCCACGTACACCTTCCCGAATTTCACAAACATTGTTGCCTCGTTTATCGTTAGACTCATGCAGCCTGAGTGCGCTGTCTCGTAATGAGTTGTCTTTCACTCTTAACCCCGTCGAGCCGCTCGTCTTATCTCATTCGCCAGAGCACGCATACTTTACTTTATTGAGACAATTCGGAATCCGTTGAAAATATCAGCGCACGCGTATTGAAACACTCACACTAACATACATACGCACACATGCATACGTACACACGACATCGTGCAGAGAAGATTGTTTTGTTTTTTGTCGTGGAAGTCTCGTAAAGTGTAATGTAACGAGTGCAGAAAGCTTATTATTGCACCGCAGAAGGTGTGTTATGCACGCGGAAGTATCTATTTCCGCAGAATTTAAATTCAAATAGCTGACAAAGCAGAGATCCCTATAGTTGACCATTGTTGTACAGAGCGCAACAGTCAGGCGGTCGCGAATCGTTCCGACGACAATAGTTCTCATGATACGTTCCATGATTTAGTGGCTTGTGGAAATTTCAATGAAAAGTCGAGTAAGTATATTTTGAAAATGCTCGTCAACTCAAGCTCGTCAGCTTTCATCGCGTAATTTATGCCGAGATCTCTCTTTCGCAATGATACGTCTGCCAAATGAGCTACAATTAATTGAGAGATTGTTGTTTTGAAAGTGGTTTGCAGCAGCCTCGTCGTAACATCGCGTATGTATTTGGTATGTTGAATTTAAGCGGGGAACGCGCGGTTGTCGCACGTCGCGAAGCGGTCCAATTTCAGTTCCGGCGGAAGCAGCAGCTCACTTTGCCAGCAACTATTATCAAATGTACGACATAACGAGCATTACCGCGCACGGGAAACAACTTGCTTTGCGAAACGACCGTGGAACATTTCGATATCACCGCGATAAAATTGCATTTATCCGTGTGCAGACAAGCGTCGCGTTTAAATTCCATGAAATATATCCACACGATGATCTTTCATCGTACGAAAGTGAATTTCAATTTAGTGAAAAGTTTTTTCAGCGCATATCTCGGTTCCCCGACGTTCGTTTTGCAACATTCGCGTGTTATACAAAATTAGCGTTTCTCATTTTCGCAAAATTTCGCCACATCTATGATGTTCTCGCGAGCACAGGACGAGAACGAGAGCGACGTTATCGAGATATTTTCGACGGATTCGTGTACCTATAAGGACAGACACAACATATACGTAGAACACATGGTCGATGCGCATGATTGATGAGTAATGATCGTAGATTTATGTACACGGAGAGTCAACTGTTTACAATATATAAATAAGTCTTTAATAAATACGCTACTACGTGAATAAGTCGCTTCTACAAAAGAGAGAGAGAAAGACAGAGAGAGAGAGAACGAAAGAAAAAGAAAAAAAAACGCAGCGAGGTCGAGACATTCTCCCATAGACACACTCCGTACAAATTCGATGAGACTCTTAACTCGAGAAACGAATAGACGCGATGTCTTTTCGTCGGGTATGAACGAATCTTTCGAGCGGCATTTGGTGATCGAACAGTTTCCACGGATGTTCAGGCCGTAACGAGGATCGCGTATAAAAATCCAATATCAATCGATGTTACATTTTAAAAACATTCTCCTTGGCTGTATGTAACTACCCGCATAGAAATATTTCCTAAGATACAGCATAAATTCTGACTAGAATGCCCAAATATGTCCCAAAACTGGTTATCCTATTACGATTGTTATCCTATACCAATTGTCTCAAACATGGGTTCTCTGTTTAAAATTAAAAAAGAAATACTATGTAAACTTGCGCTTTTTATCTAGATCGATAAGTCTGTGTACTTTTTATGGTACCAAGCAGGGAATCCCTTTTTTACATCAATTATTTTCTCAACAAAGTAAAATATGAAAAAAATTATAAAATATATGAAAAAATAAAATATTCTTAAAATACTTTGGGCATTCTATTGAACAAAGGAATTATTTGTAGAATCAACATATTCTATTCAATTTTAACATAAAATAAAGAAATATTGGGAATACTTTGACTTGCCCCATTAAAAATCGCAGCTTTGAAACATACTTCTAACTGGAATCCATAATTACTTTGAGAAATTGAGCTGAACCCCAGTTAGGCTCTAAGAAATTTTCTACGCAAGTAATTTCGCGAAATTGAACTGTAGCTAGTAGAGAGTATCAAAAGCAATGAGCGTGTTTCGCGCGGAGATCAAACTGCATGGTGCTATGGTGCCATGGAAGTTTCTGGCAGGCACGTTAGAAACTGCTCGTAACGTAATCAGACGATTTTGCCCAGGCTGATCGAAATTCCCCAGATTAAATTTGCGACGTCGCGAGGTATGCGCGCGTAAAGAACCGTGAAGAGACTTGGAGCACGACTATAAGTGGAAATTGCAATTAGGACCTCTGCAATTTTCACGTCGGCACCGTCGAGCGTCGCGAAACGAGTCTCTCGAAGGGTATCGTTGTATCGCGAGGAACAACGATCGAGCGGATAGAACTCGAGCGGCCAGCGTGTGCAATTTGTCGACCCGATTAATCGACGTACACGCTAAAACGGAGCAGCGTGCCACTTTGCTCCGTTATAAATACTGAGATTACATCGAACGAATTTATTCTACGCGTCCCAAATTATATGTACGTCGTCCCTTGGAATTGCGTTTCATTGCGCTTGATTGCGAAATTGCGAGAGACAGACTCACAATTTGACTAATCACTCGCGGGAAGGGCTTCCCTCAGTGTTGGCGGCACATCGACGTGGTCACTCGCGAGCCAGATCGCGCCCCGAAATGTTCTTTATTTTTTGTATCCTACAATTCGTATACAATTATGCTAGTTAAAAAAATTACGTCGTTACGCGGCAATAAGCGTAATCGGAAACGTTCGTCGCTCGATTTTCGATGGAACGCGGGAGAAGCGTAATTTCGTCGCGAGACTGCCAATAATTGACGCTGGACAGCTCATCCCCATTCAATTAGACCGATTTCTATTATCGCCCCGAGAAGAATCGGCCTTCGTGTCGAGCCGACTTCATCGCCCATACGCCGTTTCCTTTTTTCACGTCGCTTATTGTCTTGTCTCCTGCACTCTCCTCGCTCGCTAAAATACTATCGTATAATTACTTTAGGCTTAAACGCTAATCGTACTAGTTAGGACGAAATTCGCCAGTAATATACAAGGAGTTTCTTGCGTCGATAGACGACGAGGTGAGACAGCGATTCGTGTCGAGTCGATAAAGAGAAAAACGGAGTAGTAATTCCGTACAACACCCACAATATAGCTGTTCTGATGAAATGGAGTTTAAAATATATCTTAATTCAAAGGTTCAATTTTATAATATCTAATTTGCATATCAATATCCGCGCCCCGTCTCTAAATCGTTTACTCTTACTTCTATATCTCTGGCGTTAAAAACGCGAATCTTCTTTCTTCCGGATTTCATTTGTTTAGCGCGATGACCGCGTTCAGGAACGTTAGATGAGAATCAGACAGCCACACTTGTCACAAAATATGTGACGGGAAATACGTACCTAGATTGTCATCCCGGAAGTACTCTGCAGTTATTAAAACTACTGAAGGTGTATCACTGACGTTAAAAACGCTATAAAAAAATCAGCAAGAGAGTTACAGTAATTTTACTCTTTGTAAATGCACATGTCTGAATCACTTTCATAGTAAATGCAAGCTAATCATGCAATGAAACGTTCTTAAAGCGATGTACTTGAAGCGTGTGCACAGCGTATTTCTGAACTCCGCGGACACCAATTTCGTCTATAAAAGCTCATCGAAGGAAAATTTCCCGTGAGGAAATATCGATCCGCCCGAGAGATTCAGCACGGTCCGAAGTTGTTCGGAATTCAGAAAGCGCGCATTCACATGCACAACGTCGACTTATCACCTTCTAATAGCGCGTTAAATAGTATTTGCTGTAAGATCCAATGCGTATGTGAAGATTACGGCTCTACGCAACCACCTAGGAGGATATGCAATTAGATCATTCGCCACGCTTCCGTACGCAGTCCGCGGCTTGTTTTGCGTCGGGAGAGAAGCAGCGGAGATTAAAGTCACATTTCGTGCTCGTTACCTGGCTACGCTGTTTGATACTCTCGTCCCTCTGCTACCATAATTACCACTTTTCGGATAACGAGCGTAAGAAACAGCCTCGCCGGCGCGTTCATCCCGTGGCTGAACAAGCGTGACTCTGAGGACTCCTCGCTTTTGCCAATATTCATCGATCCTCGACACGAATCGCGGTCTCTTCCTCGCCGTGAACGTTGAGGACCGACATCGGATCGATTTCGGCGAAAGCAATTTGTTACCGTTACGAATCGTCACTTCGACATCGCCGAGGTGTCTTCCGCACCTCGTGAAATTTATTAGCGACGAACCAACCCCAAGACTTCTGAAGCTCATTAACATAAACATATTATTGTCAAATTAAAAACAATTTCTTTTCGTTAATTTTTATAAACTTAATATCTTCAAAAAATAGTCGTACCGTCTTCGCGCGTATATTTCAAAATAATTGCAATTTCATGCGTAGAATAAATAAAAAAATATATTCGCTTAATATCGCAGGAGGCTTTGGAGCAAAAGTTACATAAAATCCTTTCGAAATTATGTATTTTCGAAATTTCGAATATCTTGAGCTTCTTTTGAGCGTCGTTCTCGTTAGATTAACAGAGACAAAAAATCTTTTCGACGATACGACAGATCGAATTTCGAAGATGAAAAAACAAAATGTACAGGGAACAAAAATATAACTGTGTGTAACTAAATACGAACGTCACCGAAATACGAACACGTCGGTCCTTCGCGCTGTGAGTATCAAAGTTCCGGCGCACGACCGTAGAAGTCGTGCGCTCGTTGGTACACGAATGTGGGAGTAAGTCGTAACGTAGAATGCTCGCATATATACACGTAAGTTTACAATGACGTTCTCGCACACAAATCACCCTCCAGCCATCCGTGGGGTGTCTCACATCGCCAGTCTGTCGAAGGGAAAGCTCGTGGTGGCCCGTAAGACCACGTCGTCCGCGCCGGAGCCACTGTCTTCGCCGTCCTTTTTGAGCAGCCTGAACGTCGTCAGGTCCGTCACGATCTCGCTCGAGGCTGTCGACGTGGTGGACTCTGTCGTCCCTGTCGTGACTTCGCTCGCGGCGAACGAGGAGGATGCCTCCTCGTCGACGAGCGAGAAATCCGACAGCGATCCCGAGATGTCCTCCGCGGACTTTTGCCAAGGCAAAGACGAGGTAGGAGCTGGCGAGGATGAGGGAAGAGGAGGTTTCGTCGTGGTTTCAGGAACTTTGGTGGTTGACGGTGGACTCCGATGCGCCGCTTCGCTACTCGGGGTCGTCGCCGACGGCGTCGACCTCGCTTGACCGATTGAACCCGCGGTACCCGAGAACGACTTTCCTACCCTACGCGAACCCACCGATGGTCTCGCGATGCCGTTTCTCGGAGACTGCGGCGGGGACGAAGACGACGATGACGACGATGGTGGCTTCTTACGACCAGACTTGGAAGAGGCCACCCTTTTGACGGAGGGAGCGGTCGATGCACCAGGAGGAGACGGTGAAGAGGACGACGATGCTGTCGAGGCCCGCACCTTGCTGGCCGGCGGCGCCGTTAGCGACGAAGAGGCCTGGGACGACGTCGTGCCAAGCGCGTACTGCTTCTGGGACGACGTCGGCGAGGCCGCGCTCCCTCTCGTCTGCGTCGTCGCCGGACGTTTCCTCTTCTTCTTCTTCCCGTCCGTCAAATCAGGCTTTTTACTTTGACTGTCGCCGCCGACGTTTGGCTTTTTCGCGTTTGACGTTGGTGCTTTGTTCTTACCGTTGCGCGTGAAGTTCCTGTCGACGACGACGACGGCCGCCGTCGGGTCGCAGTCTATCCGCGACTTCCGCTTCTTCGCCGGCACCGAGAGGGCCTGTCGCCTGCAGGCCTCCTCGCTGGCCGCCCCCTCGCAGGACCTCTTGGATTCCGGCGTGGTGCATCCGACGACGTGGCTGGTGGTTTCCGGAGACGCGTCGGCGTCCGTCGCTTCCGACCTGGCACCTACACCGGAGTCCTCGGGCAGTTGGCATTGGGGACCGGGCTGTTCACCCTGTCTGCACCGTCGTTTCCGTTTCTTCCGCTTCTTCCGCTTGCGGCACCTGAACTTATCCCTGCCGTCTTTCTCCTGCATCGGCAGGGGCGGACAGTTCGGCTGCTGCTGCGCCACGTCGCCGTGCTGGCCACGAGGCGTGCGGTCGTGATGCCGATGGCGCACATTGTGCTTGGAACCCAGTATCTGCCTCTGCAAGGCTTCCACGCGGTCGAGCGGTGCTGCCCGTGTCAGCACCCTGGCGTAGGCCGATAGCCTGCCCAGATTGGCCTCACCTTTGGTTTGTACCCTCCTCGGCTGGCCGTAACGGTTCAGGCCGAGGTACATCGTCTTCTTCTTCGTGGACCAGCGCACTGAGCTGTACGTGTTGTAGTTGTGCTGCTCCAGGTTCTCGTTGAACACGCACTCGTCTGTGTGTTCGCGCTGAAACAGAGCGGAACAGTTTCTTTTTAAAAAATGAGCGTCTGTCGTTAGGTTTTTGTTAGGATGGGCGCTATCCATATAAGGTAAAATTAAGTACACTGAGAGAAAAAACATCTAAGAAATCAAGAATATTTACTCGATGTGAGTATATATATTAATGATATATTTATATTAATATAAAATATTCTTTAAGTAAAAAAATATATATCTGTTTAAAATTTTAGGAAGATCTTTGCATAAAAGTAATTGTTTATTTTGTTTAAATAAAAGAACTTAAAATAAATATGTTAATAATATCCTCCAAAAAATAAATATTTACTATCTTTTAGGTATTCTTTTTTCTCTGTGTACAGATGGAAGATTAGGCTGTAGACATAGTTTACATTTTAACTGAAATATTGAGAAGGCCGGTGAAAACTGATCGCAGTTTACAGTTAATATTTCATTTATATTAAATTTATATTTTGTTTTTTTTTAATATTCAAACGACTTTAGTTGCAACTGATGACGTGGCGGAAACTAATTTCGCGGGACGAGATAAACGCTTGAGACACACCTTTCCCAAAATAATGGTATTAATTGCTTCGATTGAGTTCGCTGGTTGCGGCACACCCTGTACCCGACAATGTAGATTTTTGCACTTTGTTTCCGTTGGGCGCGAGTAATAATGGGCGGTTTACATGTGCGCGAAACGAGGTTAATGCAAGTTAAAACGCTAAGCCATTTCTCGGTGGTGCTGAAGCATTAAGGATAATGCGGAACCGACCGAACCGACTACCCGACGATGGCACACAGTAGACATTAAGTTTTCGCTGACTGGCGGCGCAACGCCGTTGGCTTTATGGTAACGTGTTCGCGAATGAGCGAAAGCGGCAGTATTCTTCACCGACAATTACACCGTTTGTCGGCTCAAGTGCGCCAAGATGAGCGGTTCGACTCGCGACTGCAGCGATGCACTCCGACGTGCTTCAATGCGCTTAAGACGCGCGCGACGCACGTCGCCTTCTCGACGGGTATTTCTAAAGCTCCTCAAGTCACAGTTAGGACATTGTCCGCCATTTGTAGGTAGGAAGTGAGTGAAACTACAGCGTGTTTCGTCACTTCAGTCTTAGAGCTTCTGTCTCACTGTCACTCATCCCGAAAAATGCGGACAGGATGCAGATTAATCGGGAATTATCATTGTCCTAATTCTGACTAGGGGAGCTTTAGACATTTCTTTTAGACAAGGTAGACTTGCTTTTGATGTGGCGATCGCGCGATATCATTTCTCTTTGCACACTTAGAAATTTTACTCGTAACAATTCGAATTGTATCAGCTAGCCTGTAATACATTTTTTAATTTGTCCTTTATATATAGAATAAGAAACAAGTAAACGTAACTTTTATATTTTGCAAGATTTTCTCACTACTTTCTGTATGAAGTCAATAATTAAAACAGTTAATATTTTTTTAGCTTCAACAATTGAGAACACATATACGTGTGCAAAGAATTAATGAGAAAATATATCGAGGTAAAATTTGAGCAGATGTCAAGCAGAAGTTTTATTTTTAAGTAATTGCTGGCAGAGGAATATCATGTATTTTATTTCGTTACGTTTGAAACAATAATTGTTCCTCTTAACTCGATATCTAATATCTGCAGGTCAGAATACGCATAAACAATTCCACGTATCATACCCGCGTGCACGTGATCTCGCGTTATTAATAACTATTATGCAAATTTCTTCGATAGCGACCGTTAAACTCCGGCTTCATGTGCGTGCACAACAAAATTATGGTGAGATCTTTTTATACTGCGCGGTTAAAAGCGCGGCATACCCGGAATGATAAATTTCATTGAGCACATGTGCGGCGGTCGATGCGCTAAACGATCGCATTGACCCTCGGATTCCGCTGAGCGGCGGAAAACCAGCGATCGTGCGTCAAGGGGAGGCGAAATGCCACGAGGAAACCACACAAACAAACTTTCGTATTTTCTCTCGGGAATTTACGGTTACAACGAAACGAACGCTTCGCCAACCAGTTTGTCTTCCTGTCGTCGACTCAAGCGAGGAATGTGCAGATGAAATTATCAGAGACAAGTCATCGCTTCCTTTCCTGTTTACGGAGTATAAAATCGTGCGCCGTGCGCGGCGATCGATGTTTCATATAAATTCGTGCCGTCATCGTCGATTCTTTGATAAAATACGGAGCATCAGTATCATGAAATGTCACGGGACAAATAGCTGGCGTATAATCTCGAATTAGCGCAAATTAATTATGTTACGAGTGATACGCGCAACACACTTCGCGTTCCTTCAGGAAGCCTTCAAGTGACTTAATATAAACGCAAGCGCGCAATCACATCGGGCGCATACGTTTAAGGAGCGCGCACATCGCTTTTCAAGCGGCGACGTGACGTGCGCTCACGAGGAGTTCGCTAAAGTCGTCGATTTACGAGTCGCCGCGAAACGGCAAGTGTGATCTAAACGCGAATGCGACTCAAATCGGATGTCTTCAGTTTGCGATTTTTCGGCATATGATCGCTATGAATGCACCTTTAACGCACGATTAAAACGCCGACCACGTAACTTCCTAACAAGTCTCTTCCTCTGTCACATGAGCGAACTGGTCTACCCTGCGAGCGAGTGTGTGCGCAAGTGCGATTGCACTCGAATGCTGCGCGGGGCGGTTCACGTGGGGTCAAAGTCAACTGGTTTTCCACCCCATATTTAGCAGGTAAAGATTATTTCTATCCTAGAGAGGATTTCGCCGTAAATGGCGGCTCGATACGAGCGTGATATGACAAGTCGGGGAAAATTACAGGACGAATGCCGACGATCCTGGAAACCTGTTAATTTATGTCACGATGGAAAAACGACCAGAGATACTGGAAATATTTTCGCGATGCTTGAATCACTTTTTGCAAAATTAGAAAGGAAGCGAGGGATAAAATTGTATTTACATTAGTCAAAGTCTTTAATATTGTTGACAAGGATTTAAGGGAGGCTTTTATATTACTAGAGTTATACATTGTGTGTGCATTTTAGGAGAATTCTTCAAGTCTCCTTAACGAGGCAAGTTTGCCACATTATTTGCGCTTTTTAGACTTCGGAAGCTTCTTCAGAGTCCTCCTTTACGAATCAAACAGCGACTCTTTTAAAGGCGATTGCGAGTCCCGCGAACTATCTTGCTAGATAGATTCTGGTCACGCGACAGTTACTTGAACGATGGCGGAAGTTTGGTGCAAATGCCAAGAATAATGTACCTCGCACTGTGAGCGATGCATGCAAGCGCGCGGACAAGAGTTTTGGAAAGATGTCAAAATATCGTATGCGCGCGCGACAAATACAGAAGTCGTAGAATCCGCAAAATCTTGCTTTCTCGCGACCAACTCCGAGACAATCTCTTTTTACCTCCATTGACATTTCCTCACATCCGCGATAAATAATATAGGAAGCATAATTTCGCCGTGCACAGGCTAGCTCTAAACAAAACAAAAAGAAGAAAAAGAAATCCGTTTTCGGTCAATACACGAACCGTTAAGTGTCTACTTCTCCTCACTTGGTTGTTAGCTATGAAGAAAAGAGCAAGATGATGATGGCGGGTCAATGAGATGCGGGACGAAAGTAAAGAAAGGCGCGATCAATCGCATGTTTCTTCCGGGCCGCCCGGGGCTGCCACGCCGTTAATTAGAGAATATTACTCGCGGTGTTTTTACGCCTAGATCTAACGAGGATGTGCTTCGCATGTGACCGGCGCTTTTCCTCGCGCCGCGACTTTCGAGACAATAATCGTTACGCGCGAAGCTACAAGCGTTTAACTATATGACGCTGTGTCGCCTCGCGCTCTTGTTCTTCTCTCCTCTGCAACGGATAATTTATTATTACCGCGACATACGCAGTTCTCGCGCGTCGAAACGGACACTCGAGCGATTTCTCGCGGGATTCTTACTAGTTTGCGGGGAGAACCGAAGTTACGTGGAAAACACATCGGTGTACATGTAATACCGTTACTGCGAGCCATTTCTATTTTGTTCGCGTTAGTCAGCATAAGCTCGGGAAAGTGACACGCAACGTGTCGCTGTCTGGAAACAGTTCTCGACTGTGATGTAATGAGTAGATATCTTTGGGCTGTGCGAAGATCATCGATGATATTACTCGGGAGAAAGCATTCTCAGTACGTTCTCAAAATATTCGGACTCTCGGAGAACCTCAGATAATATTCTCAGAATCCTCGCGGAATAACTCCTTTCTCCCGAAAATACTCTTGGAATAATCCCAAGACGTTCCCTCAGATAACAGTTGCAGAGTATGCTCTCGGGATGTTCCCGTTCTCGAAGAACAAGGACGGTTATTGCTCGGTAAAATTTGTATTTAAAATTGGTATTTAAATTTATATGATTTTTCTCGTCGCATCACGTCAACATTTTCTTCTACGATCGTCTGATTAGACATGAATCAGTTTACTTCATTATCTATTTATTTTTTTCTTTCTCTCCCTTTCTGTCTCAAGTTTTTTCCTTCAGTTATTTTTTTTCTCTCTTAATGTCGCGGTACACTTTGTTGCAATACGGTTTGAACATTTTTCTCGATGCACTTTAGATCGTATCAGACATTGGAAATGGGAAAAGTTAATTTTTAGAGATTAATAAAAAAGAAAACAAGTTTTCTCATTGGACTATGTTCGTGAAATACATTAAAAAACTATGTCCAAATCGTTTTGAAGACAAGTATGCACACTCGTCTGTTTGTTCCCGCCGTGATTACAGAGCTGAGATGATCGCTTCTTGCGTGGCACAAATTGTTGACGCTATTATCACGAGCGGGATATGACTTTTTGCGCCGTTCAAATGAGCCGCGTGGCTCGGGCGCCCAAGCTCGCGCGGGTAGGTGACATTTCGCCGATGATCCGCGAATTAACCGCATTCTCGAGCGGGAATAGCTCGTCGTTAACGATCACGAACAATGTCGCTTTTTCCGTTCGTCAGGATTAAGATTAAATCGTTCATACTTACGGGG